GAGCTCTCCCTCCCCACACTGAGTTCCCTCTTCCAGCCTCCCATCCAGTCCTTCAAGACTGCCAGTGATTTCCCGTTCCCTCCCCTACCGGCATCTTTCCTCCCCAAAAGCCTGCAAGGCTGGTGTGTGAGACGCCCATCGTGCCAGCCAACTCAACACAAACACCAGCCCTCACCACGGCACGTCTGAGTGCCACCTTCAACCCTGCCCCCTGGCATCGCGTGACGACTGGATCAAACTCCGCCCCGGAACTGTCTCGTGGAGATGCCCAGAAGCAAACCCGGGAGAATCCTCCGTCCACCAGGATCAGGCTCACACGTGCCTTCCCTGCAGCTGGACGGGACCCTGTACTCTCGCCCATCTACTCCCCTCCCACATCTGACCACTGACGATGAGTGGCTCCTCCCATCCTTGTTACCCCACTTCCTGAGCACACATCAAGCCCAGCCCTGGCCCCTGTTAGCTGGCCCCAGAGTCCTCTCCCGGGGCCACTCCTGGAACTGCCAGACCAGGGACCTCCCTAGATGAGTTCGAGAGATGTCCAGAGCCTGCAGAAAATCCCTAGACAGCGTAGCCTCTCACATCGCCAGGACCAGATGATTCTCTGGTGGCAGTACTTCTCCAAAACCATTGAGGCCCAGATCTCTAACCATGGAGAAGAAGGGGGGGGGGGCTATGCTTGTTCTTGGGGGAAGAATGCTGCTGCTTCGTTAAACAGGTGTGGCACGCTCTGGGAAGAAATGGAAAAAGCCCGGGAACAGGCAGGGGGACAGGGTGTGGCCGTCACCTGTGGAGACAGCCCCACTGGGCTCCCACTTGTCCCCACAGCCCATAACAGTCATTTTGGTTCTGCTAACCTATCCGCCCTGTTCTGCCGATCGCGACACAAGCTCCTGACGGGCCGGGTGACCGCCACTTCCCACACTGCTACCCGAGAAGGCACTGAGACCACCCTACTCCTCCACCACCAAGGAACCCTTGCTCTCCTCCTATGCCCCACCCCCTAGGCAGCAGGAGGTAGCCAGATAACGATGCCATCACCTCACGCCTTCCTATGCCCCAGGAGTCCGGAGTGATGGGAAATTGCCAACAACTTGAACCAACAAACCCACCTTATGGCTGGCCTTGGTCCTAACACTTCCCTCCTCCTCCTTTCCCTCCCTCTCCCCCTCCTCTACCCCCAAACTGTAAAACACCCAATGCAAGGTTGGTTCTGCATTCCAAAACATTAATAAATGCACACTCCATGTGCACAACAGGAGGAATCCATCTCAATAAAGACACAATGGGGCCGGCGCTCTAGCGTAGCAGATAAAGCCACCGCCTACAGTGCCCGCATCCCATATGGGCACTGGTTTGAGTCCCGGCTGCTCCTCTTCCCATCCAGCTCTCTGCTGGGAAAGCAGCTGAAGATGGCCCAAGTGCTTGGGCCCTGCACCCACATGGGAGACCTGGAGGAAGCTCCTGGCTTAAGATTGGTGAAGCTCCGGCCATTGCAGCCATCTAGGAAGTGAACCAGTGGATCGAAGACTTTCTCCCCCCCCCCCCCCGCCTCTGCCTCTCTGTAACTCTGCCTTTCAAATAAATAAATAAATCTTGAAAGAAAGAAAGCAAAAAAGAAACACATAGCATGCAATTCCCATTCATAATGCTTAAAAAAAAAAAACTCAGCGAGGTAAGGAACATAAGCACTTGTGACTCAAACAAGGAAGCCTGCAGAACACCCCACACACACCTGATGGTGAGAGGCCCAGCGGGTTCATCTGCCTCCTGCCCCAGCACCAGCCCGTGAGCACCAGTGCCAGTCCTGCTGCTGCGGGTCTTTTTATTTTTTTTTTTTATTTATTTGACAGGTAGAGTTACAGACAGTGAGAGGGAGAGAGAGATAAAGGTCTTCCTTCCATTGGTTCACCCCCCAAATGGCCGCCACAGCCAGCGCTGTGCTGATCCGAAGCCAGGAGCCCGGTGCTTCTTCCGGGTCTCCCATGCGGGTGCAGGCCATCCTCCACTGCCCTCCTGGGCCACAGCAGAGAGCTGGCCTGGAAAAGGAGCAACCGGGACTTGAACCGGCAACCATATGGGATGCGGGCACTGCAGGTGGTGGCTTTACCCGCTACGCCTCAGTGCCAGCCCCTGCCACAGTTCGATCCAGCTCTCTGCTAATGTACCTGGGGAAGCAGCGGATTGCTGGACCCCAGCCGTCCACACGGGACACCTGATGGAGTTCCAGGCTCATGGCTTTTGTCCGGCGCAGGCCCTGCCTTTGTGGCCACTGTTGGTAAATTAGCAGACTTGAGGGCTCGTGCTGAGGCATAGTAGGCTAAGCCCTGGCCTGCAGCACCAGCATTCCATATGGGCCTGGATGCATTCCTAGCTGTTCCTCTCCCAAGCCACTTAACTGCTGATGGCCTGGGAAAGCAGAAGATGGCCCAAGTGCTTGGGCCCCTGCACCCATGTGGGAGACCAGGGAGAAGCTCCTGGCTCCTGGCTTCAGATCGGCTCATCTCCAGCCGTTGTAGCCATTTCGGGAATGAACCAGGGGATGGAAGACCTCTCTCTCTCCCTCTCTCTCTTCCTCCCTCCCTCCCTCCCTCCCTCCTTCTCTCTCTGTAGCTCTGCCTTTCAAGTAAATTATTAAGGAAAAATATGAAAAACAGAATAAAATCTAACCTCCCTAACACATCTGCAACATAATAAAGCGAGCAACAAATGCCGACCACAAGCACTACTTGACATGCGCCGCATCACTCGCCATCCGCGAAATGCGCCCCAAAGCCACCGTGAAGCCTGGGACGCCCGTGTAGGCCGAGAGGCAGAGCAGCTCCGGGTCTCACACGCGGTTGGCAGAGGCACGGGGCCAGGGGTACTCACCGCCGCCGCTGCGACCCGACCAGCCAGGAGGCTTGGGGACGCCCCCGCGGGCCTGCGGCTGCTTCTTCCGAGCGCTTCTGGGCCTGCAGCATCGGCTGCACCTGCTGGGTCCTCCCGCTCCAAGGGCGCACCTGTCCTAACACTGCAGGTGAGGCCCCAGCACCGGAGAGGAGGATGGGGGTTGGTGGGGAGGGAGGACTGTCTCTTTAAGGCTGATTGGCCCCCTCCCGCCCTCTCAGGCCTCTTAACAGCCAGGTGGGCACAGCCAGCCTCTGGCGAAAGGGAGGAGCCGTGATGGCTGAAGGTGGCCGTGCAGTAGGTGGGGAAGGCCTGGGAGGGGCCGAGCGGGGTCCAGGCCTCCGGGGACACCAGTGCCACTGGCACCACACTGGGCACACGCACCCGGATTTCCCTGAGCCTCGTGAAAGCCACGGCCCTGCAGGTGCTGGGAGGGGGCAAAGGCCACACACTTCAGTTCTCTCTCTCCCATGGGTACCGCTGTTTGCGTAGGGGTTTTATGATGTTGTTGTTGTTGTTGAAGATTTAACTGTGTGTTTGAAAGGCAGAGTTAGAGACAGATCCATCTTCCGTCCGCTGGCTCACTCCCCAAGGGGCCACAGTGGCCTGGGGCTGGCGCTGGCCCAAGCCATCCTCCCCTGCTCTCTCAGGCGCATTAGCAGGGAGCTGGCCCAGAAGCGGAGCAGCCGGGACTTGAACTGGCGCCCATACAGGTGGTGGCTTCACCTGTGCACCACGATGACAGCCCCTGTTCGGGGCTTTTCCCCCATATTCAACAAGGGTTAATTATCATTTGATTAATATAATCCTTGTGCCTCTTTTTTAAAAAAGATTTAATTATTTATTTATTTGAAGGGGAGGGTGATGACAGAGAGAGAGAGAGAGAGATCTTGCATCTGCTGGTTCACTCCCCACGTGTCTACAATAGCGGGTCTCCCACGTGGGTGGCAGGGGCCCAAGCACTTGCCCTACCTTCCTCTGCCTTCCAAGGCGCATTAGCAAGGAAGCCAGATTGGAAATGAAGCAGCGGAAACTCAAATTAGCACCCCAGTGTGGGGTGCCGGCGGCGTCCCAGGTGGCAGCTTAACTCGCTGCGCCAGGACCCCGGGGCCCCTTGTACATCTTTGGGGGGGGCACAAGGCGATGTTTGTGGGCGTGGGCAGTGCGCTGCTCCCATCAGGGTAACCAGCCTTTCCTCTACCAATTGTTTACATTTGGAGCCACTGAGAGCCCACTAAGCTATGCTACTCAGTTACCATGAAATCAGTAAGGGCTCCTGTTACAAGGTAGTCGCCGTAACTTCCTCCCTTTCTCTCACCTTGACTGCTGCTGGGGTGGGAGTGGGGGGGCTAGGGATGCTCTGGACCCTGGGACATTTGTCATTTGTCATCCAGGAGTCTCTGATAAACCTTTGCCCCGGGGCAGGCGCTCTGGGGCGGGGAACAAGGCCTGCCCAGTGCCAGCTGCTGGTGGGTCCTTGGTGTCACTCGCGGAGAGTGGCCCAGGGCCTCGCCCCACAGCAGGCGCCCTTCTTGCCAGCCTAGCGCCCCCACCTGCCCGGCGCCATGAACCGCAGCAGTATCAGCAGCACAGCTGAGAAGGCAGTGAGGACGCTGCTCTGGGGTGAGTGAGGACCCAGCTCGTTCTGCCCCCAGCAGAGGCGCCGGGGGCGGGGGCGGGGGCGGGGGGGGGAGCGAGCCCCTCTGGAAGGACCCCCTGCTCTCCTCTGCCCTCTGTCCCACTCCTGGGCTCCCCTCTCCCGCGTAGGCTGTGAGCTCAATCAGGAGAAGCGAACTTGGACCTGGAAGCCCCAGGTGGAGGGGAAGGAGAGCTGCAGACTGTGGCTCAACACGGTGGGTGCCCCTCGCCCCCCACCCCGCGGATGCAGCAGGCTGGATGCTGCGGCAGCCCCACGCCTCTGTTTGCAACGCAGATCTGCCTGGGGGAGAAAGCCAAGGAGGAGGTGAACCGGGTGGAGGTGCTGCCCGGAGCCGGCCAGGAGGACAGGAAGGCGTCGCCCGTTACCATTGCCTCCCTGCAGGCCTCCGTCCTGCCCATGGTGAGCCCCCAGAGCGCACGCGCCGGCGGGGAGGGGGTCTTCACAGACTACATCTTGAAAGTGTTCTTATTTATATGAGAGGCAGAGAGGCAGAGAGAGACGGAGGGAGAGAGACAGAGAGACAGGCAGAGAGGCAGAGAGAGAGAGACAGAGACAGAGACGGAGACGGAGAGAGACAGAGAGAGACGGAGGGAGACAGAGAGAGAGACGGAGGGAGAGAGACAGAGACAGAGAGACAGAGAGATGGAGGGAGAGAGACAGAGAGAGACAGAGACAGAGACGGAGAGAGACAGAGACAGAGAGACAGAGACAGAGAGA